GCGCGCGCAGGGTGCAGGAAAGGAGCTGGCCGTTGGACACAGCTGGGACCCGCTCGGACAGCTGGCGTGCGCAGAGGGAAGGAGCAGGCTGGCAGCGCAGGTGCGGGACCCATGCGGGAGAGTTGGACGCGCGCTGAAGCTGCGTGCAGGGAACGCGCCAGCTGAGGCACGGGCATGCTGGGGACGCGCGCGAGATGGAGTGGGGAAGGCAGGCGAGCTGGGACCCACGGGCAAATCAGCGGCGCTCTCTCTCTCTCTCTCTCTCTCTGATTGCCTTGTGCGGCTTGGCTGAGGCTTGGCTCCGGGTGGTTGAAAACATGGCTTTCATGGCTTATTTTTGTGTAGCTTTTTACACTGCTTTTTATCTGCAAATAATTAAGCAAAAACTAGACAAATTTCAATTAAAAATATTATGAATAAAAATAATGGAATTGTTTAATTAAAGCTTAAATATTTTAATATTATATAAATCAAAAGCAATATTTATGGTGCATTTTCATGCACTAATCAGTATGTGAAGGAATGAGGGGAGAAAAAAAAAAACCTCTATGATTAATTTTATTTTTGTAATAAAATTTAAGTATATAATTAAGTTTATTATAATTGTGTTTATTTGTCACTTTTTTAAGGTGTTTTTTGTCATTTTATATGAAGATATTTTACAATAATAAATTTTAATTTAGAGGAGATGTAAAGAGTAAAAAAAAAAAGGCGTGTCTCTGTCGTTTCAGTTTCAATGTTCTTTAAAATCCCGTGTCATTTCTAATCCTAATTTGTCGTCATTTTGTTGTTATTTGTCATCGACTCATTGTCAAGTTTGCCTTTGCTACATTGTCGTTTCCTCACTTGCCGTCGTTTCAAATTTTTCTGTCGTCTGTAATCGTCGTCTTCCACGTTTATATCTTCGTAAAGCTTTTTCTGTCATTTATTCGATCGGTGTATTCCCAGATTTCTGTTATCATTTTCTTACAGTCCATATCACGGTTAAGTTTCACGCCGCTTACTTTTATGTATGCTATTGTTTTCTTGTTTCTTGCGGTTTTCTTTGTTTCTAACGTCGTTTTCTGTCGTTTCTACACATAGATCGTATATCCGTTCGTTTTGATGTTGTGTTCATCTACAATTATTTTTATGTTCTATTGTTTTATTGAATGTTGCCATCCTTTGGTCATTTTATGAAGTTTCAGTTTATTGTCGTTTTCACTCCTCTGTCGTTTGAGGTTTTACTGTTTGTCCCGAGTCTGGCCTAGTTTGTCGTTTTTCACTTATTGTTTTTAGATTGTTGTCGTTTGCTCCAATCTTGAAATCTTATTTACTGTCTTTCCATTTTTTTTTTATGTTTTCTGCAGTTGTTTTTCTTCCCTGCTTTTCTATTGCTTTAAGCAGCTATTGTTCCCATGCTTCTGTCGTTTGCTCCATTGACATCTTTTTTCGTCGTTTTTTCATTTTCTATCGTTTCATTTTTCAGTCGTTTTCGTGTTTTATCTTCATTTACTGGCTTCCCGTGTTTTATCTTTATTTACTGGCTTCTGCCGTTTCAGCTTCAGCTTTTGTTTATTTTCGGGTCTCTTTTCTGTTTGTCATCGCTTCATCATTTGTTGTCTTTCTAAATGCACAGTCCGTTTCAAGTTTTCTGTCGTCTCCGTGAAATTGTTGTTTTTAGGTTTATGACCGTTCTGTTCATTCTTTCATGTCGTTTATTATTCGTTGCATTCTTTTTGTACTGAGTCATTGTGTGTTCATTTACACAATTCAAGTCATGACTTGAGTTATGCATGTGAGAGAAAACTATTGTAATAAAAAAATTAAATTTAAATTTATGTGAGAGAATTGTAGCAATATAACTTAGAGAGAAAGAGGGAAATAAGCCAAGACTTAAGATGAATTAAAATTAATAGACCAATAGTTTACATAAGTTAATAAATAGGCCACATTACTGTTTTTGTTCATAACTTGTCTGGTTATGAATCATAACTTGACAAGTTATTCCCGATTTTTGTTCATAACTTGTCTGGCTATGAACCATAACTTGACAAGTTTGTCCATAACTTATCTGGTTATGAATCATAACTTGACAAGTTATGACCTATTAATTTCTATAACTAAAAGTTGGCCTATACACTTTCTTAGGCCTCGTTCGTTTCGCTGATTCGAGTTTAGAATTCGAGTTTTGCTACAGTAAAAAGCTCTCACAAACAATCACATCTAACTTTTTTGCTACAGTAAAAAGCTCTCACATACAATCACATCTCAACTCAAATTCTAAACTCGAATCATCGAAACGAACGAGGCCTTAAGCTTTTCATATTGGTATATTTCTTACTATTTCCCTATAACTTAAGTCATAATTTAATGAACAAGGCCTTAATCTTTTATCCTAATTTTAGTTGGAACTATGCGCCGTTTACGGTTTGCATTTGATTAGGACAAACCTGCAACTGGTTTCTTCTTTTCTCTCTTTTACATAAACATTTTCGGTGCACCTGCAAGCCTATACATAGGGTGAACGCGACGGAAAAAGTACAATTTTCTTGGTCATTGGATTTGGATATAAACTTCTTTTATCATAGTTGATTGCTTTGTTGACTTGAGCGTCAAAGAGTTTTTCTTGCAGGAACCCTCATCTTTCCTATTTTATGGGAGCTTATACAAGTTCAAATATTGAAGAATCAAACGAGTAATAGTAGTCGGAATGTGAGCAAATTCTACCGAAACAGTGCTGAAAAAGTTTGCATAAAACTTGGCATCAGCAAAATATAACTTATTATAAAAACACATAATTTGTTTCCAAAAGACTATCTAAAGAGAGAAGAATATGTCAAAATTGGAAAAGTTTATCAACATATAGGTGAGATTCTCATTTGAGCATATCCAGTTAACACTTCATATTTTTGGTAAACTTCTCATATGGTAATTACCAAATCAATTTTTAAATCACATTCCCATGACTAGCTCTCTTTCTTGGAAGCCACGGCAGACTTTAGTCCATATTTAGAGAACACATCAGTAAGCACAGCCTTCTCCTTGACCTTTAACCTGCAAGATTTTGATGAACCAACAACATTATGCAATTTCCACAACAGAAACGGAAAAGAAGAGAGGCCTTATTTCAATGGCCGTTCAAGAAATATAACAAGTTTTAACCTTTTTGCAGATCCTAGTACGTCAAATTTTGGAACCTTGACTTCTTTTTCTTTCCCAGCTGGTTTTTTCTTGGGATTTTTCCTTCCCTTAGCTTTCACAGGTAGATTTCTTCCGGGGACGTTCTCTTCTTTCCCTTTAGCAAGTAGCTTGTTCTCGAGTGCCTGGATTCTATCTATATTTGAGGGAAGTGAATCTCCCATGGACTCAAATTCTGTCATTTGTTCAGAGTCATCATCACTATGACTTAGCTCTGGGACAGTAATGGAATCCAAATTCTCACTGATATCTTCCCATTCTACCATTTGAAGCTCATCAGCAGGTTCATCATAATCATACTCGACGAAGGCGCTATTCTCCCATTTGTCCAGCGAAGAATCATTTGTTTCAGAATCTTGGCTTTGATCGTCTCTCGAACTCAAACCATGAACTTCAAGATGAGGAGAGTCATGGGTGATGTTGTCTGCTGATGCTTGTTCAAGAGCAGAATCCGATGTTTGCGAATTCATCATCTCACATTTTATTTGCTTCTGAATTTTTCCAAAAGTAATAGTTTGCCGAGAAAACATTTGTGTAAACCTGTCACAGCAAAGGATTACCATTACAATTCATAAGAATAAGCATACTAAAAAACTTGGCAATGTTGAGCAAGCTCATATGTAATTCAGAACTTGTTTGATAGGAACGAAAAAAAAAATACATATATATATATATATATGTATATATAATATACCAAATACAATAAGAGCATAAGAGAAAGTCACTCTCTATTTCTCCATATTTTCCATCCTACTAAAAGTAGCCTTATCAAATATATTTATAAATCATCAATTAGGAGTTCTCCACAACTTAATGTACCTCGTAGCGTGTTCCTGAGACTTGAAATGAACAAAAGCAAAACCCTTGCAGATAGGGTCCCTGGTCTTCTTGTTTCCAGAAACCACCGGGTTTATACTAATCAAACCAGGAACCCCTTTGAACGCAACGCTCAAATCTCGACGCACGTTCTTCTTTTTCGGAAGGTTCACCACTCGCACTCTAACTCCATTCGGAACAACCTCATTACCTACAAAAAAAAAAAAGAAAAAAAAAAGAAGCGAATTCAGTACTTTTGCCAACTTCTACAAAGCAGATGCAAGAAATTTATGAATCACAGATAAACCATTCTTCTTTCCATCATCTTGCTTAGAAACAGGTTTGGCAGGCTCGTTTTTGAGGTTATCGAGATTAGCAGCCTGGGCCAGTCTACTCTGCCGCATTTCTTCGAGCAGTTGGTCTTCAGTCGAAGTGTCGTAGACTTTCCCTTCGCCAAACCCACTTGGCCTTTTCTCAAGCCACTCGCTCATCTTATCAAACGGCAAGAACACGCTTCCATCACCGTCCTCATCGTCGTCCTCGCCGAACTCTTCGTCGTCAAAACCTTCCATTTCCAAGAGAGGTGGGACCCCGCGGCCCCCACGTTTACCTTGCTTCTTCGAAGCGGAAACTATGAATCCTTTGCTGCGTCTCTGGGCATGAAAAGAAGAAAACGCGAGGTGGGTGTGAGGGAATTGTCGTGAAGAAGGGAAGAGTGGAGAATCGGTAGAGGGGGTTGGGGTTGGAAGGACATGGTTGAGGTGGGTTTTGGAGGGAAATGCGAGAGAGGATGAAGTGGGAGTAATGGTGTGACTGGTGAGGAGAGTTTTTGAATTGCAGGGTAGCGGAAAACCTCCGGTGCTTGGCATCTTTCTCCGTTGCTCCTTAACATCTACAGCAACAGAGCTATGCTGTTTCAGTATCGGTTTGGGATTGAGAATTGGAAAAGAAAAACAAAAAACAAAAAACAAAAAAAAAAAAAAAAACTGAACTAAACTAACAAATGGTTAAGTAAAATAGTGGTCAAATGGCCATCAAATGGTGTCGTGGTGTAGTTGGTTATCACGTCAGTCTAACACACTGAAGGTCTCCGGTTCGAGTCCGGGCGACGCCATTCATTTTTTCATTGTAACTTCTTTTAATCCAAGTTAATGAACAACAAGCTTCAAATTTCAATTAGGTGCCTAAACAAGGAGTTCTTTTTTTTTTCCCCCTTTTTAATATTAACTTCATTCTAGGTAAAAATATATGTACGATGAGACTATGTTAGCGGTTTCTTTTCTATTGGTTGTGTAGCTAGCTAGTGTTAATCAAAGAGTTTAGAGAAAAGACAAAAAGTTAAAAAAGTATATATATATATATATATATATATATCTGTTAATAACTTAACAGTTATATCCTAACGGTGATTGCATGGTAAAAAAGAAACAGAGAGAATAATTAGGGTCCACATTGTCAACGTGGCAGCTTCGATCTCTCGCCACGTAAGTACATCACCAACAATGATCTTGTAGTAGTGACCACAATGAATTAGTTAGTCAAACCCACCAAACAATGCGGAGAAAACTGCAAGCCAGGCCTGTTTCTTCCCCCGAAGACACGTTACGTTCTGCCAGTTGATCACGTACTACAAACTGATGATCTCTTTTTGGTTGATTTGATACGAAATTGGTAAAATCTGGTAGACGAAAACATTGTACTGTTTTTGCTCTTACAAGCACCACAACACTACAGAGACGACCAAACTTAGGACAGATAGATGGACCAACATGGCATGGCTATAGTACTATTCTTGAATCTTGGGCCTGAAAGCTGGGCCACACATGTTTCCCAACATGTTTTGGGTTGGCTATTAGGTAAGTGGCGCTATCCGTTGGGTCTAGAATCTTTCAATAATCAAGTTGAATGACAGTTGAGTTTAAATTTTTAACTCCAAAGAAAAATAAATAAATAAAAATATTAAAGTTATTGCCTTAGCCTCTTATAATTGGTCAATATTGATGGGCAAGTCTAGAATATCTTTGGCCACAATACATATTATTTCGTGAAACGTCTAAGTTTTCTGTTTGGTAGGTGACACATTATTGTTTTGGTTTAATTAAAATAGTATAGACCAGGCCATTAATCTCAGGCATGCTTGTTGTTGCCATCTACTTTATGTGTATGGATCAACTTTCTTATTAAAATCTTCTCTCTCTTTTTTGGCTGCATCCGCTTTGCTCTTCTTTATCCACTTAGGTTCCAATTAAAGCCTTTTTTTTTTCCTAGTCTATTTTGATATTTGTTTTATGATCAAATACAAATAATCATGTTTAGAGAGTCTTTCTAAGAGTCAACTTTTTTTAATTGGTTAATGCCCACATATAAGGAAGAAAGTGCTCTAACCATGGACAAGCCGATTTTGTCAGTTCCATGACACAAATATTTTGCATTCAATTTTATACACGAATGCCTTTTTTGTTATGTTTTCTTTCAATTTTGTTTCCGGTTCAACTTATGTATACAATAATCCAAGCAAAAGTAAACTCGTTTATACAATAATGTTGTTGAAGTCTTGAAGAGGCTGCCAAACAATGAAGAGATTGAAGATTGGACATGGAGGAGATCATGGCATAGTATATCGTCCTATTATATCATTTGCCTATCCATTGAAAATAACAGAAGAAGAAATATAAGAGAAATTAAAGGGCTTGTTTAGTTTGATTATTCGAGTTTTTAATTCGCGTTGAGATGTGATTTTATGTGAGAATTTTTTACTGTAGTAAAAAGTTAGATGTGATTGTTTCTTAAAGCTTTTTACTGTAACAAAATTCGAATCAGTGAAACGAACGAGCTTAAAGTCATCTAAATTTTTTTTTCTACTTTATGACTTTACCTTGTAGCGCAATTCATAGATTGATAGATTATGACGAGTATAAATGAGAGAATTTAATATCTAATCAGATAAAATTACGTATGCTTACAGATGATATAGAAATTAAATAGATAATTAAAGTCATTTTAAGATTTTTTTTTTTAGTTTATCACTTTATCTTGTAGCACCATTCATAAAACGATGTATGTTTAACAAGTGCGTCGCGTCATAATAAAAACTTATCAATAAAGCCTTCTAGGTAGAATCTAATCAGTTAATAGGCACTTCAAAAAGAATGTTGCATTATTGATGCATTAAGGGTTAAGAAACAAATCAAGCTACTGCAGCTACTAAACTTTAGACTTTAGAGCATATATAGTGAAGACTGATTAACATTGTGTAGGTTTCATAATAGTCACTAGAGCATCATATATAGGCTGTTACTTTCACAAACTGCATGATTATTTGCACTATGATTTATTAATAGTATAGATAGACCTAACATTCAAAAGTAAAGCCCAAAATGTCGTTCATAAGAAGAAAAAAAATAATAAATAAATAAATAAAAGGTGGCACGGTGCAATAAGTTTAGACTTGTTTGCTCGGAACAGTTCCTTAATCTCCATCACTAACCAAGGTTTTCACTATGGGTCCTATTGATTAATTTTTTCTCTTCTTTTATCGGAAGTCTAAAGTTTTGATAGAAACTTATACCAAAATCCCAAGGTCGTCTAAGAACAAAATTGCAATTTGATATTATTTGATCACTTAATAAACTCAGTCAATTCAAACTTGTCCATTAATTCATAGATCTAGCAAAAAAGTGGATTCGAGACTGGATTTGTGAAAATCTAAAAAATTTATAAATGAAGTGAAAATGAAAAAGTTTGCAAGAAAAGAAAGAAAAAACATAAAGCCAGCTCTGTATTATGCTGTTGTGTCTTGAGAGTGTGCGACAAATAATACAAGGCCAAAATAGATATATAGAGGGAATCAAACAGTGCTGAAAACGATGTTCCCACTTTATTAATAAGATGTTTAGTATGAGTATTCGTGTTATGGTTCGAATCATAGTTTGTGATTCGTTATAGTATTTTTTTTTCATAAAAAATACGTAAATTGAGAATAATTCTGATATCATAAACCAAATGTGCACTAAGTAACAATGTACATATATGTATATGTGTGTATATATATAATGATAATGTCATGGGACAGACTATATTAGGCCACTCTAGTAACCCTGTCCAAACGCGGTAGAGGAATAAAGAGAATATCTAATGAAAAGTACTGCCATATCCAAATTTTCACATCCGTAATTGGATATGAAACGTGAATTATTAATTATATATAGCTAGTCTGATACAACGTGAGTTTATAGATCCACAGCACAACTCTCACTACGACAAACGTGACATTTACGCTTTATTTGGTAGGAAGAGAAGAAAATGGAAAGAAAATAAAGGTATAACATGGGCGAGTAATTGTATTTGGCATTAGATTAGCAAAAAAAAAAAAAAAAAAAAAAAAAGTATTTGGCATTATTCCTTCCTTTATTTTTTTTTTATTTGCGGATAGACTGAAATTGGGAATTATTTGAAAGGTTTAAAATTACTCACTCAATCTATTATCTCATTCCAAACAATTATAATCCCCAAAATTACTCTAATATATAGTTCCCTCTTTTTTTGATTAAATAATATATAATTCCCTTACTATCTACTTCTTTCCACTTTTATCTCCTACTAAAAAGGTTCTTAATGATAAGCATTTAGCAAGCCTTTTTTTTTTTTTTAAAGGGAACTTGTATTTAATAAAAAACAAAGAAACAAAACACACAATACAATACTAATGACCCATTAAAAAAAGAGACGTTAGAAATGAGAGAAAATTTCGACACACTAATAATGAGTACATTTTAGACTTGATTTAAAAAAATCCCTCTCATTAAGATAATCTTTCATGTTCTTAAAAGAGAGATCAACAACCCCCATATAAAGAAGACATCAGCAGTATGACATAGATAAAATTCTAACCAGACCAAAAACTCACACTATTAATAAACAATCTAATTAAGCGGAAAACACAATTAAAATTAAAAAGTGGAGAAACCACCTTCATTAGTAAAAAAACAAAGCCGAACACACGTCGACGTCAAAAGTGAATTTAATTATTTCATCTTTAATTGGAAGATGATATGATATCTTTAACCGTGAATACTTTAAACTATTCACATATTTATTTTTACTTTTCAAGAGTTTCAAAATGTTTTATCATGGCCGAGAGAGAGAGAGAGAGATGCAACTTTTTCAAGAGTTCAAATCTTAATTATGGCCCATGAGATAAAAGAGGAAGAGATATCATGGGCTGCTTTAGTTTATCATTACATAAACTATCCACAGCCTTTACGCGAATGAGTTCAATCTGTTAAATCATGGCCACGCTCCACCAAAAGTTAGGAAGTTTTCGGGTATCATTTCATCTATTCAAAAATGTAGAAAACTTTTTACTTTATTTCTTTATAATAATATATCCTGATTTCACCCTTATTTCAATTGTGATTAGGTAACAGGTACTATCTGCTGGCCATAATTTACATTATTTACTTGAAAAGTCAATATTACTCCACTTCCATTAACTAGAAACAAAAATATTGAAACAAGATTTCGTTTTCAACTAAACGTCTCAGAGAGAGAACTTAGCTCTCAAATCTAATTTTGTCGTCCAAATAATTTCTAACCAATCATAAATTAAAATATTTTTTAACTAGTTTATACATGTTTTTCCATTTGAGTCCATTAAATTATAGGGCATACATTATTTGAATTGTCAAAAGTTAAATAGGAGATTTGAGTTCCTACGTGATGGTTACAAAATCAATCCATAATCCCTATGAATAAATAAGCAATAAGCACATTCCAATTAAATACCTTGACCACCGAGCAATTTTAATTAGACATTTAATTGAATGGAATCATTGGGCACGAAAATCATTTAACATGAAGATTTTTACCAGAAATTGTGTCTGATTTCCATTTAATTACAGATCCAAATTCTACTTACTTTTTGCTTCATAAATACATGAAGACCCCAAAACAATAAGTCGGTACAATTATTGAAATGAATTAACTACTTTTACTTGGAAATTCAGGATCATGGTCGAGTCTATCTCTGGAATATGGCCCCCAACCCCAAAGTACGTTGGCATCTATGTATAAATGTCTGCGAAAAAACCCAATAAGAAAAAAACAAATAAAATGTAAAAAAAAAAATAATAATAATAATAAACATGAATATGAACCAATTTTTATGGAAGGGGAGTATATGATGTTGATAGCTCATCTTCTGTGTTTGCTCCATCGAATAATGTACGTTGTTTTTCCTTCACTTTCCTTTTCTTTTTTGTACAATAAAATAAATAATTAGGTAGTTGAAGTATTAAATAAAAAATCAATCTGAATATGCCTAATTTGAAAAAGAAAAATTAATCTTGTAAGGCATTTTACATAAAATCTTCATCGGTGTCTAGTGGCCAAATTAAGAAAGATAAAACAAAGAAACAAGATGGTTTTGCGGGGTTGTCAACTGTCAAAGTTTTTGTATTATTTTTGTGTTGGTTGCTTAAAAATCTCATAGATGCAGTTAGATTCTTTTGATAAATCACAGTGACACCCAATTGCCTTCCATTGGCCATTTCAAATAAAAAAATTAAAAAAAAAATAGCAAAGGAAAAACAAATTAGAAATAATGATATAAACCTTATGAAAAGATTTTGACATCATTTTCGTTATGTCTGATGTGTAACCAAAGATCCACAAGACACGCCAAATTATCTCTTGTGCTATAATTTGAGAGGGGGGGGAAAAAGTGTGAGATTTAAGCTAATAGTAATGAACTGTTACGTGCTATTTCCAAATAGATATCTAATCAGAGATTTATCTGTACACGTGTACGACGAAGATTACAGGGTTGAAAATAATACCAAACAGTCTTAGTAAGTTTAGCCAATGAGATATGTTTGGTCTTAAGATCAAAGACATTAGACATGTACAGCTAATATCTACCAAAAAAAAAAAAAAGTTAATGGATCTGACAAGGTTGGAGCGCTTCATGTTTTTTTGTTGTTTTTCTTCTTCCAATGGGAAAATGGGATTGAAAAAGATTGAAAGGTGAATAGCATATGACCTGCATTAATGGATTGAACGAAAATATATAACTCAATATATATATATATATAAAACAGTCACATCTAACTCTTTTACTACAATAAAAAACTCTCATATAACATCACATCTCAACTCGAATTAAAAACTCGAATTAGCGAACCGAACGGGCACATATATATGCTATTTTGACACACAATAAACAATAGGAATATCTTTTTCTTTTTTTTTTCTTTTTTAGCTTGAGTTATTAATAATTGAGTTTACTATAATGTACAAATCAATGGGGAGAGAGAAGACATTTTTTTTTTTTTTTTTTTTTTTTTTTTTCTGAATAAGACTTACGTTATCCGATATATAAGTAGAACTACCGTATGCGTAGTTAACTACATGCTGGAGAGTAGGGAAGGAGTACAAGTCACTAACATCAAGAAATTTTCCTCATTTCGACCACGTGGCACAACGAGAAGCGGATACAAATTATACCCGTGGGTAAGCTAATGAAAACCCCGGCAGCTATCACGCACACTATAGTGTAAAACCTTAACTAATTAAATCCAACATTTTCCAAGCTCTCAACTTTGAACTTTCTTATATCTGAACAAAAAAAAAAAAAAAAAAGAACTTTATGTATATAGCATTTAAGAATATATATATGCTTTCGTAATGTATAACTCAGCACTAAAAATCTCCTCCGTTCTCCCCAAAACGGAATTCAATTTTTTCCCGGGTAGAAAAAACTGAAAATCTCCCACGCTTTTTCCTATCCTTTTCCAATCTCAAAACAGACACATTAATTAAAAAAAAAGAAAAAAAAAAAGAAAATTCTAAACTCTTCTCATTTTTATATCCCAGGAAACAGATAGAACCTTCAAACCCAAACCAAACCCCTCTCCTCTCTCTCTCTTATTCACACTGTCACACACTGTCACTATACCTCTCTTTCTCTATATCTCCCTCTTCTCTCTCTTTTTCTCCGATCAGTTTCCGGCGACTTTCGCAATCGCTCTGGCTATAAACCAATTCGTATAGAATGGGAAGAGAATTATGAGGAACTGCCTTTATCGGTGGCGATCATGTCGGTGTCGTGCTCGGAATGCTTCTCCGACCTTCTCTGCGGCGAGGACTCCGGAATCCTGTCGGAGGAGTACTCGCCGGCGGAATGCTTCTCTGACCTGGAATATTCCGTCGAAAGTTATTGCAGCGAGGAATCCATCGCCGGCTTCATCGAGGACGAGAGGAACTTCGTCCCCGGCGTCGATTACCTCTCCCGCTTTCGCTCTCACCCTTTCGACGCCTCCGCTCGAGCTCTGTCCGTTGCATGGATTCTCAAGGTAAAAACCCTAAAACTTTCTCGAGAAAATTAATTAATCACCTTCTCGACAAAATTAAAGGGAAAAAAATGAATAATCGGATTCGGACCTTGAGTTGCTTGATATTACAGTAATGCCACGGATCTGCGACTGTTTCATTCTCCGGCTTTTAAACTGTTTAACACCGTCGGATCTGTAAGAAAAATCATATTGATCGAGGTCATTATTATTGGCGACGCGCGTACGGTCTAACGGATTCCTTGTATTTTTTTTTTTTTAAATGCTGTTATAAGTCGTTAAGATTACGAAATGTTAATGTGACGAGTAGGTGACGAAACTGTTTATACGGTTAAGTTTTAATTCTCTATACGTCGTCGTTTTGCAGGTCCATTCTTACTACGGTTTTCAGCCGCTGACGGCGTATCTCTCCGTCAACTACTTGGATCGGTTCCTGTACTCTCGCCGCTTGCCGGTGAGTTTCCGTTATAATCAGTTTTGTCGCGGATTGTCTGATATATCAAGGTTTAATGAACGAACATAGATTATTATATTAATTACATTAATTATCTTGGAGTTAATAACTATAATATGTAAATGTAGTTATATTTTTACTTTTTGATGATTTGGAGAAAGTTAAGTAATTATATATGACTTTTCAAACCCAGAAAAAGTGGCATAGTAGGAGAATGACGGGCAACGTACAGTGGGAGTGATAGAATTACGGTGCCAAGGGCATTATTGGCAATATATATTGCACATCTGTACGTACCACGTACAATATAAATATAAAGATACTAATTACACAGTACTTATACGTAGTCCTTTGTGGGTTTGGTTTTAAGAACCCTGTGGCTAACTATTGTGATATGGATCGCCAAGTCCAACCAATTGTTTGTTCAAGAATTGCTTGCCTCTTGACTTTTTAGTAACAACAGTGTAAAAGTACACTACCATATTAATTATGCCTGTGTGAACTTTGTTATTCTTGTCTCATCACGTCCCACATTGTGCGAAATAAATAGAGAAAAACCAAGGAAATCTTGCCTCGCAAAGTTCGAGTTGAGATGTGACATTTTTTTGAGAATTTTTCACTATAACAGAAAAAGTTAAATGTGACATTTTCTAATAATTTTTTACTGTAAAAATCTAAAATTAAAAACTCAAATCGGTGAAATGAACGAGGTTGCTCTACAGTACAACCATGATCTGTTAATATCCTTGTTTTATTAAGTATATATATATATATATATATATATTTTTTTTTTTTTGTCTCTTAAATTTGTTAATAATATTACTTTTTTCACAGCACTCGGATGGGTGGCCATTGCAACTGTTATCCGTTGCTTGTTTGTCATTGGCTGCAAAAATGGAGGAACCTCTGGTTCCTTCTTTGTTGGATCTTCAGGTGTATATTTATATATAAAATAAAATGATCCGAAATAAAAATTTTAATTTGAATGATTTAAATTAGAGACTAATTTAGATTAAATATATGCTTAATCCTGATATAGATTGAGGGTGCAAAGTACATTTTCGAACCCCGAACGATCCGCAGAATGGAGCTTCTTGTTCTTAGTGTGTTGGATTGGAGGCTAAGATCCATAACACCCTTCAGTTTCATCGCTTTCTTTGCATGTAAGCTCGACTCCACCGGGACTTTCACTGGGTTTCTTATTTCACGCGCCACAGAAATTATCTTATCCAATATCCAAGGTAAAATATTAACGTAATAAACATTGGATATCTACACATTATACATATATGCAACGCATGCTAACTAACGTATCATAATATATAGTTTAAAAGCATATATGTACATTTATCCTTGCAGAGGCTAGCTTTGTTGAATACCGGCCGTCATGCATTGCGGCGGCGGCGATACTTTCCGCCGCCAACGAGATCCCTAATTTCTCAATGGTTGATGCGGAGCAAGCTGAATCATGGTGTGATGGATTAAGCAAAGTAAGCTTAATTTGCTAATGTTAATGTATTAATTATGATAATTAAACAAAGCACAATATTCGCGCCAATTCGAAAACATGCACGTATAAAGCTGGAAGCTGGTTTTGTTTTTTTTTGCAGGAGAAAATAATAGGATGCTACGGGCTAATGAAAGATATTTTGCTTGAAAGTGGTTGCCGGATGAAAAAGACACCAAAAATCTTACCGCAGCTTCGAGTTACAATTCGGGGCAGAATGAGGTCAAGTACTAGTGACTCATCCTCGTCATCCTCGTCATCATCTTGTAAAAGGAGGAAATTGAATAACTGCTTATGGGTAGATGATGACAAAGGAAACTCCGAGTGAGGGGAAAAAGGAGGGAATAATTAAATAAGGGAAAAGAAAAAGTGGGGGGTGGGGGGAATGGTGGCCCCAAGTTGTCTAGAAACCTCAATATTTTTTTGGAGGGTTTTGAGATTATAATATTGACTTGAGTGATGGTGTAGAGATTATAGTATAATATATATATATATATATCTTATATAATGTATTTATGAGAGAGAGAGAGAGAGAGAGAGAGAGAAAGGTTTGGTGAGTTTGTAGATTTATTAATTTTTTTAGGTGGGAATTTCCATATCATTAAATGGCTTTGCAGATTCCCAAGGGAGGGGGATTTGTTTGTTAATATTTTGGGTGTTCTTGAGGGGGAAAAAAAAAAGAGAAAAGAAAAGTGAGGGAAAAGACAGAGACAGATCTGTTTTTAATAGTGGAGTCATGGATGAGTGTTTAAAGAAGTGGGGAGTGATTGAATTCAAAGGCAGCATTGATTATTGAATGAAAGGGAGGGTGGTGGAGTTGGTGGGACCATAAAAATTGGGAGGGTGATATTGTTAGGTTTTTCATCAAAGATGTTTGGCAAAATGAGGGAGAGATTATATAATTATATATACATTGGCACTACTTTGAAGTTTGAGCAAGTCCATGGATTGGGAATTTGGGATTCTATAAAGTCAAGCTTCTCATCTAATCAATCATCTTATAGGTCCCTATTCTGCCTCTTTCAATGGGAGAGATGAACCAAAATTCAAAGACAGATTAATGCCTCCATTTTTTTTTTCTCCTCCATGAATACCTTTTTTTTAAAACTTTTTTTTTGAGTGGTATGTGTGCTTAAGCAATAGGTGCGTAAAGCACACACGTGTGTATGAGTGCTTTTTTGGCGGGAACTGCCTCTTATAGTGGCCACGAGATTGGCCTTTATTAGTTAACTATACTGGTCGTCATTGGACTCTTCGATCAACTGGTGTTCGCACGGTGGCGGTCACACGTGCTTCACACGTTTTTTTTTTATTTTTTATATTTTTCAATTTTTTCAATTTTTTGTTCATTTCTTTTGGGAGAGAGGAAAATGAAAAAAACCTCTCACATGGCCGAAGTTTTTGGCCTTTTCCTCTTTTTTTTTTGGAAAAAAGAAAAAAAAAAGATACTGAGGTCTTTGGGGCCGTCATGCGTGTTGTAATGGAATCATGATGAATATAATAATAAAATAGATTTCTCTCTTTGGAATATTATTATTGATTTACTTACTTGGTATCTGCATGGCACGTGATTGACAATGGAGACTTTTGTAGCTTTGCGGTTTGTTTTATTACCCTCGATGTATAAAATATATATATATATATATATATATATATACATATATAAATCAAAAGAGCTTTTATGAAAAGGCAAAAGCTATGGAATTATTATGTGAAGGGTAAAGCCCGCCAAAGATGGAAGTGATGAAGGGACTTGGGCTAGGTCCCGCTAGCAATAAAGGCGGTTCATGATCAGCAACTTCATCAGTGACAGTGAATACGACTCTTTTATCAATTGCCATCTCGTGACCAAACCCCTCCATATATATCATATATATTGCTTCCTCTCTCTCTCTCTCTCTCTCTCTCTCTCTCTCTCTCTCTCTCTCTCACCATCTCTTGTTTTCCTTTAGATATCAGACAAACTCTTTCCTCACATTTCAATCCCCTTATTAATTCATCATCACAGTCCCCATAAACATTATTCCAACGCTTCTGATATGACCCTTATAATATACCAACCCCCATTCTCTTACCAATATATTCTTATAATATATATATATATATATATACAATTTATAAATCTCTACCATATTTATCTTTATTTTTGGTGTAATACATGATATTATATGCATATACACATAATAATAGCGGTGGGAGTGTGTACTAGTATAGTGAGACACACACACATATATATATATATATGTTTATATATGTATGTATGGATAAAAATATGGTGGAAAAACCCAAGGCTGGAAAAAGCAACTTTAACTGCCGGGACGTTCCTGCACTAACAAATAGAAAAGGCCCAAAAATAAGCCTGTCATTTAGTCCCAGATCCCCGACATAAGGTATATTATTTTTGCATGTAATAACACACATATATATATATGTGTGTTATCACTGTTGCCACTTTAAATATATATATGTATCCGCTTGTAAAAAGGTAAGTACAGTTCGAATATATCTTAGGCATATATATCTTTGCATGACATGAAATCCTTATCACCTCCCATGTGGTATACGTGGCATGTAATAAATCGATCCAGCACCCCCTCAATCACAATATTGTTCAACATCTTCTATCAAATCCACTTTTTTCTTTTGTTTCGTTATTATTATTATTATTTTTTTTTCTCTTTTCCCAAATTATGCATATGAAAGCTATGTCCACCATGGACCACCCAGAATGGAAAAAAAAAAAAAAAAAAAAATCGAAACGAAGTGACAAACCTTTCTTTTAGTTCGACTTTCTCCTATTTTTCTTTTTGGTCTGTTTCATGTGCCAATCGACCGTTCATCAAGGACATGGTAATTGGACAACCCGATTGGTAGAAAAATATAAGATATACAGATGTTCTTACGGGTAATGGACGTTGATATCAAGCTCTTTTTAATTACTTGCTAGTTGCTGCTAGCTTTTACAAAGGAGCTAGCTTTTTAGCTTCTTCCAGCAATATGGAACCCACTATATATAATTTATGTGTATATTCCAGCGTGTCGGAAAGCACTTATTAGTTTAATAAGAAATTATTGACATTAAATCAGCAATTAGTAGCGATTTGTGGGGTTTTCCTCATTAGGCCAGCAATGGTGGGACCATGGCGATTTGGACAATACGGCCAATTAGAACTTCCGTAATATAATACCACAACTAACGGCTAATTTGGCAATGGTCATCACCAACTAGGGGTGGCAATTCGTGTCATGTGTCGTGTTCGTGTCATGTTTTGATCGTTTCTTTTTAAATTTACAGTCAACCCGAACACGACCCGTGACACGAAATTTTTTAAAAATCACAGCACGAACACGACACGACCACTTTACGAGTTGACACGACACGACCTGAAAATGACCTGTGACACGAAATTGACCCGTGAACCCGAAATTGACACGAAAATTGTATACTTTTATTTAGTTTTTTACATATTAAAAATAACTTAAAATTCATAACACACTAAATTACAATAACATCCATTAAAATTAAGCAAATAATAGTATAAGATTTTGAGTATAACTATCATGATATCACAAGTTCATAATAAAATTTAAAATCTAAAATGAAAAATATATGTATTTTTTAGTTTTTTACGAGTTTCGTGTCGTGTTCGGGTTAGGCGGGTCCAACCCGAAATTGACCCGTGTTTTTCGTGTCAATTTCAGGTCGACCCAATTCTGACCCGAACCTCTTTTTTCTCAACCCTAACCCGTAAAATTCGTGTCGTTTTTGAGTCATGTCATCGTGTCGTGACCCATATTGCCGGCTCTATCACCAACGGCTAATTTGAAATAGAATTTTTGGTACGTCATATGTGTGTGTATAACATAAATATATATGTATATATACGTGTGACGATAGGGGTCTAGATATTTGCTGCATTAATCAAAAGTGATTGGATTCTAGTTTCAACACAAAAGAGTCAAGAAATAGGACAAGCCGTGGACTGCAACCACAATAAATAGGTACATTTATATGTGTTACATATAATCATGTGCAAATTAACATCACAAATATTTATATAATTATAGGGCATCGATAGATCCCTTTACTTATTAGATGTATATTGTCCCGTGCATGCACGTGTGTGCGCAGGCCGTTTGGACCTATAGTCGGTGCAATGTAAGGTCGAGTCGATCTAAATTATTAAGCTAGATATTAATTGCTTGAAAACTGTTATATATATAGATATATTATTACACATATATTGCATATATATATATACACATATATAGGTTATATAAAAGGCTATGCTATAAGGTTCCTTTGAGTAGTGACTGTTTGTCACATTTTAGATATTTCTTAATTAAAGGGTCCCTTCGAGCACAACTAGATAGTGTTATTGAACCCACAAATTTGGGCACGATGGGTACGTGATATACTCTTATTGGACATTAAAAGGTGAAATATTTTGTCATTTTTTTTTCCTTTTTGTTTTAGTAAAAAGATAAAGGGTGGAACCTATGGGCTATGAGAATTTGGATTTTGTAAGCGATTGGTTCCCACCATTATATTCCCCACGATCATAATTAAATGGCAGAAAGAAAATTATACCGTATGAGAGTTTGGGAATTTGTTGTTGATTAACATGAAGCTATAATTATAACTTAGGTTGAAAGTATAGAATGGTAATAATCATAGACTATAGTATTACTTGACCATAGACCAATTAGAGAATGACACGTGTAACTCAAATTACATAAGGAATGATCCAGAATGGCCACTTTATAATTTAAACTCGTCTCCATTAGAATGGTCTCAATCGCTTTCGCATCCCTTATCTTAAGTAATGCATGATATTGTAAAACTACTTTTCTGCGCATGCACTTTCCTTTTCTCCAAACAGAATGGTTTTTATTTTTTAAAGTGAGGAATCCTAAGTATAAACCCAAAAGCCAAAAATTCTTTTTTCCCTTCTCAGGAAAAGTGGGGTTTTTTTGGGGGGGTGAAGGTTAGATCAGAATCTAGCCCTTTACTTACTCTCTTTTGCTGGAGGAATCTTTCAGCTGTATGTGGCCAATTGACAAAAATAGAGGACCCTTAAATATTCAGCTTTCAAATACGATTTTTGGTTTGTATAAAAAAAAATAAATAAAAACCCATATGCTCGTGGGGTTGCTGCAAAAGTCTCTACAGTGGTCCTTTGGACTAAAGATTTCAAAAGCTAGAATGATTCTGAAGTTTTGAGATACAATTTACGATTTTATGCTGAATGCAAGACAGCAGCGCCCTCTAGTCTTTTGATCACTCATTGTCCCCATGCCCATGACCAATTTTGTAAATTTTTTTTAAAAAAAAAAAAAAAAAAAAAAAAAAAAAAAAAAAAAGCAACTGAAAAAGGAAATTTTGATCATAACATCCTTGTTCCCCAGAATAAATATTATGTTACCATAATAATGACTTTTTGAAGCTAGCTAATTAATTAGACCCATACTTGATATAGAGATTAGAGACCACGTATATATATATATATATATATATATATATCAA